AATCATTTGCACTTTGGTAAGAAAGGGAAGGGATGTGAACAAAGATGAAAACAATTTTTTTTTGAAAGATAGCAAAGTGTCACGTGCTGACAGTTTCTTCGATGTCCTGACACAACAAGTCCCATAAGAGGCAACCTCTCTATACTTGTGTGTCTTACTAATGTTTGTAATTGTGGTGCAGGTTAATGTCATTGCATGGTGTTTTCTCTATTTATTAGCTTGTTGCGTACATAAAAAAGACTAATCAACAAGTTTTGTAGATTCAAATGCAGTATGAGTACATGTGCGATCTGCGCTCGTGTCGTGACAAAGGGGTCTATTGAAGTAAATCAATTTAACAACATTGTTTCGAACAACCCTCGGACCCCTGTCCCTTGGTATCCCACCTAGCCATGGTATGAGTACGCCAATACAGACATACGGTATTACAAACCCGTTTTAACTTAACATGCGAATAAGATGGAAATCAAAAGTACAAAAATTGAACATTTTCTGAAACGCAGAGTTTGAACAAATACAGCGTCTCAAAGAGAGAGAGAACGAGCAAGACGTTGGTCGTTGCTCTTCTGGTAACTTTTATCTCTAACCTACTAATTTTGTTTCTTTTTCATGAATTTCTTCGAATTGTCAATTTCATTTTTCCCTAATTCTTGTATATTTGTAAGATCTGAAATTGTTTAATTTAGGGTTTTTTCTCGACTACTATGATTTTTGTTTAGTACTTACTTAATTAGAAGCTGATTCATGCTTAATTTTGATTTGTAGATAAATCTCAGCTACTTTTTTGCTTAATTATCTTTTGGTTGGAAATTGAATTACCCATTTAGTTTGTTGGTAGTTTTCGTTGCAAAATTTTGAATCTTTTTGATTTGATTGGAGAATTGATGGGTTTAGTATTGATTTTACATCTTATAAAGTTGGTGTTAACAACAACTGAATTACCCATTTAGTTTGTTGGTAGTTTTCGTCGGAAAATTTTGAATCTTTTTGATTTGATTGAAGAATTGATGGGTTGAGTATAGATTTTGCATCTTATAAAGTTGGTATTAACAACAATAGCAAGTGGTATGCTGAAAATTGAGGATGTTTTTGTGAGAAATTTGATGGTATAATTTTGAAGTTTTATTATTAGAGTGAACACTGAAGAAAAATTAAACAATGTAAAAGAACTTTAGCTTTAAGCAGAGTTGATTTATATGTTTCTTCATGCTTGTTTTGTGCTTCAATACATATGAAGAGCAGTATTTAGACTGTGGAGGGGAATATGATGCTTTTTTTTTCTTCTGGGTACGAGAATCAAGTTTTGATCCTGATATTTCATGTCACGTATCGTTGAGGTTACATGGTATTGTAAATTGTTAGTGGATGGATAAATGGAGGTCATCGTATGTTTGTGTTTTTATTCCAGCTCAGTTTTATGTTTGACGACTGAGAACTGCCTATGATTATTGTAAATTGCGTGATTCAATTGGTTGAGTGTTTGTGACTGGAAGAAGTAGATAGGATAACTTGTACTTGGGCAATCGAAATGTTTCGTATGTTATTTGAAATTGTAGGAGCTGGATGCTTTGAAGCAGGATTTTCAATTAGGTTTTCTCAAATGAAACCACGTAATACCCTGCTTCTCCCACTGAAAGGCATTCTATCACCTGCATATGTTTAATACACATCTTCTTATTGTTGGTACTTGGTAGAATCTATGGTTGCTCTAGAAATTGACAATATATATGCGAACCAAAAATCCATGGAATATGGCTATACTAGAACTTTTCATAGCTGTCTTCTGACTTTCAAGTGTAATGATCTTAAAGAAACCATCTAGAAGTTTAATTTACATTCCATTTTGGGACTAAGCATTTGTTGTTGTTGGGTTCATATTCCATTCATTGCTTGTTATTGGTGGATTTTAAAAAGGTATTTTATAATGAAAGTGAAAACAGTACAACTTTGTCGGACAATGATCATCACAAGAGTGAATTTCTTTGTATTTTGTTATGATACAGATATAAAATGGATCGTAGATGGAAATACAGTGCAGCAGAATCAAGCATGCGAGACCAAAAAAACAATAGGAAAGAGGTAAAGAATTTTCTCATATGAGGTTTCAATTGTTAGGGTATCTAGTGTGCTCTGTTTTAACCCCACGTTGATTAATTACGACCTAAATCATGAATGATTATTCCTCTTTTAAACCAATAACTGTGTCTAGATCCTTGATAACTTTGTAAGGACCACGGTTAATATTTGTTGTGCTGCTTATATGAGTTATTAATTCCTAAGAATTGCTATTGAAGACTTGATATCTGATTGAAAAATGTTGGTGTTTAGTGTACTTTAGGTTGCTGCTGCATGTGCAGCATATCCTTTTCTTCATGCTTTTGAGGGATCATTTTAAAATTTGAATTGTTGTTTCTAATTGTTTGCCAGGATTTATATGGTGATGATTTCCGTGAAGACTTTCGCTTGCCAATTAACCACAGGCCTACTGAGAATGTTGATTTAGATAATGTTGAACAAGCATCAGAGGACAGGAAAATGTCATCATCTAATATTGGATTCAAGCTTCTTCAGAAAATGGGATGGAAAGGAAAGGGACTGGGAAAGGATGAACAGGGTATGTGTTCCTTCAGATGTACCAATTGTGTGTGTGTGTGTGTGTGTGCGTGTGTGTGTGAGAGAGAGAGAGAGAGAGAGAGAGAGAGAGAGAGAGAGAGAGTTGATTATGTCTACGGTTGATGCTGGTGTATGCTTGTTAGCCTGTTAGGTCCTTTTCTTTACCTTGAAGGTGAAAAGAATAGCTCCTTAGTTATGACATGATTCATTAACTTATACTGGATTCAGATTCATAAATCTCCCATAAGTTCTGTTTAAGTTATCTGACCTATTGACGCCACCTTCAAAGACTCATTGAGACCTTATTATTGTCAAGCATTGTTGTACTATATAGATCATACTCGGTGACATTTTTTTTTGCATGGAATGGATGATAGCTTGTTGCAGATTTCTCTCTATTCCATAAACTAATTAGAGATCTAATATATCATCAGTATTTTTCTTATTGCAAAGCATCTATGATAGAGAATTCTTGTCACAAATGGAGGAGAAAACGTTTTAGTGGCTCTTTATTAATTTCAGTCTTCCAGATGATAGCTTTGGTGCTCGACTATTCTCCCTGAAAAATTTAAATCTTAAGATGGTAGTTTAATTAGGCATGATATACTATAAATCTTATACTTTGTCCAAAGAAGAGACAACTACCATTTTGATAATCATGACTCCAAAGCACTTGGCATGATGGATTACATTTGAGGTTTTTAGCATCTAGAACTTTGTGCAGCAAATTTGTTGTTTTCTGAAATAATTTATTGCTCTGAAAAGATTTGCCTTTTTGTCTGTCGAACTACTGCTGTTTGTCAACGTAAGACTTTATTATCCTTTGACCTCTTCACTTCAGGTATAACCGAGCCAATAAAATCGGGTATGAGAGATCCAAAGCTAGGGATTGGAAAGCAAGAAGAAGATGATTACTTTACGGCAGAAGAAAATATACAACGCAAAAAGCTTGAAATTGAGGTGGAGGAAACAGAAGAAGTTGCAAGAAAGAGAGAGGTATTCCATCATATTGTTAATATAGTTTGTAGTTTCCCTAATGCAAGGAATAGAGTGTAAGATAAAGTGGTTTGATTCATTACTTTTTGTGAAACCTATATATATTAGCAGAAGGCAGCATATAGCATATATGCATGCCTTTTGAGGGGAATGTTATAGGATAAGCGAACATCCACTTTGGAAGCTCTTGAGAATTTCGTGCAGTTTTATTACCTGGTGGGTTCTTCTGCCTGCTTCGTGCACATATTGAAATCAGGTGTTGGCAGAACGGGAGCAGAAAATTCAGACTGAGGTGAAGGAAATACACAAAGTATTTTTCTGTGATCTGTGTAACAAACAATACAAGTTAGCTATGGAATTTGAAGCTCACCTGAGCTCCTATGATCACAATCACAGAAAGGTAGACAATGAATCCTGCAAATATTTTATACATTGCACTTCATCTCTGTGTTGGTTTCCCAAATATAATCTGTTATTGTGCTTTCAGCGATTTAAGGAGATGAGAGAGATGCATGGCAGCAATCGTGATGATCGGCTGAAGCGAGAACAACTACGACAAGAGAAGGAGATGGCCAAGTTTGCCCAAATGTAGGTTCTTGCAAGCTTTATTTATGTATTTATTTTAAATATGGTTGATCAGCTTTTTGTTATTATGTGACTTATACTAGATCTTTTGTTTATCAGTGCTGATGCTCGCAAGCAGCAGCAAACACAAGAGCAGGAGCAAGATCATCCTGGAAGTATTCCAGCAAAAGCCGATACTGCACCTGTTGATATTGATCAGAGAAAAGCATTGAAATTTGGCTTTTCAGCCAAAGGTGGCACATCTAAAGTATGTAAATTGTTATATATTTGATACATTGCAATTCATCTCTGGTTAATTCCTAATATCCTTTATATGAAGTCTGAATCTGCTTTATATCTTGACAGAGCTCATTCAGTGGTGCTCCTAAGAAGCAAAAAGTACCAGTGGCCTCTATCTTTGGCAATGACAGTGATGAAGATCAGTCATAACGGCTTTATATTGCAGTGGAGCAAATACACGGCTGTCTGAATGATGCTGATCAGATAACATTTTCCCTGCTTGTTTCAGTTTTTTCTTTTCCGTTGTTTGGGATTTAGAATACAAATACATGTGTGAGACAGTTTAGATATCATCAATGAATGTTATTTTGCTTTTCCAATTGCTGTCGACTTCACCGAATCATGTGACTTTCTGATATCCATAGTTGTTGCTGAGTTTGTTTTGCATCAAAATTACTAGTCCCTTTTGTCCAAGATATAGCTACTGTCGTAAATACTTTTATCATTCTATCTGACCAGCTGTCTTATCCAAAATTGGTCAGTAGAATGACTATACTAGAAAGGAAAATCGGCTATATTATATGACCTCAGATGCAAAAATGATTTGTTACCAGGGTAGGAAAGTAAGTAAATAGTCTAAACACTTGAGATATTATTTGTAATATTTTACATTTATTAAATTAACAGCCCAAATCTGGAAATTACTCCGCAGTTGTTACAGTGCTTGTTAAGCTGTTGCCGAATACTTGAAACGACAAGGCGCTACAGCCAGTATTGAGCGGAAATGAAGACGCTTGAATTTGGTCAAATAGATTATGAGTCTAATAAACTGCTTCAGCAAAACCCACTTGTGGTTTGCTAAAATCAAAAACTGAATGGTAAACTCCCATGAATACATTTCCAAAGATCCTGTGATAAATGCAACAATCAGAAAATTTGTAGGAAAATTCTATACATTCAGTAAAACATCTTATATTATAGCTGGCAAGGTAAGCATACCATGCTCCTGGAAGTGATGGTAGATCCACCGCGGAAAATTGGCTCCGGCAGGTCATTTTACGGTGCTTTCTAGTTGTGCGTATATACTGAAATTGAGGGTGAAACACAAATACAAGAAACAATTCAAAAAGAGGCATGGCCAGGATTCGCTTATACAAATAAACTAAATGAATGATTAGCGCCCAATAAGTACCATGATCAAATGCTTCTAAAGAGGCATCTATCTAGGACGGGTAGGGAGGTCATAAATTTGCAATTTTACTTTCACTAACATAGTAAGAATTAGATTCTTTGTCAAAGATTATATTATTTGATCTGTTCTCCATGATTGGCTTCTAATTTCTCGCCTTGTTTATCTTAACCAATCGTACCTGTTGAGGAGTGAATGTGAAAGGCTTATTTCCAATTGTGAATGTCAAGTGTGGCATGAGTGGGATGTTTTCACAAGGAACTTCTACGTCTCCTCGAGGAGTCGGAAAGCTAAAGCATAGCTGCAAGGAGTAAAAACCAGATAATCAGATATTAATCCTATTATGGATGAGACTTCAGAAGTTTAAATAAGCAGAAAGTAATCTCCAAAAAAATATGACCTTTCTAACGTATCTCAGTATTCCTTTCTTTGTTTTTCTCTGTTTCATCTGCCTCTGAATCCAAATCACTATTTTCTGACAGGCACTGCATAGCAACTCATCTGCAAATGATAAAAGTTCTTTTCTGTTTATTCTTTCTTGAGCTGTCTTGAGATTGTTCCTGCAAATCAGTTGGGTTATTGAATATCAACTCTTTAGTAGAACAAATCTGCATTGCTCGCTTGGATGTTATCAAGTATAGATTCAGCTAATATCTTGCCAAACTATATATCGTATAATTGTATCTGACAATAGAAGAAAAGATTAGTGAATGCATTTTCCGAAGTGAAAGTTTTATCCTCAGCTCTTTGGAATAAGTTCGGGTTCATGTAAGGTTTTTCCAAGTGACTCTGTGGTCCTGATGTAAGTGTATCATTTCGTTTGCAAGTTCATCAAAACATTGTTTCTTTGTCCTTTCATATTAATGCTGGTTTACTTCTGACATTTGGGTTTTATATGGTTTTCTAACCTCATATGCTGAGCTCCGTTGTTGAGGCACAAGCTAAGTTGTGAACATATATCATCAGGATTTACCTGCAGCATAGAAAAAATCGAAGTTTTAGTAGGTAATTTAAAACCTTCTCGTACACCTTTTATGTATTGGGTGATTCAGATGAATCAGATCAGAAGCAATTTCGGAGGGATAGAAAGGGTAGGGAGATAGACCCCTGATGCTAAAAGATCGTATATCTTCTCTCCATTGTGGGAGATTATTTCTTTGCATTCCTTGCTTTTGACACCTTTTGCTCCTATTGCGTGGTTGATCTCAACCACAATAACCTGAAATTTTACGAAAATTCAGAGTAGTTTAATAATTCCTAGTTATAGAATGGGGAAAACGAATGGAAGAGATATATGCAAGGGCATAAGATGTTCAATGCTTTGTATCAAATGGATGAAGTTTGCGAAAACATACCGCAGGGCCCGAAAGTAATGGTGATCCTGAGTCTAAAACAGCAGGACAGCCTTCCTGACAGTAGCCTATGTAATATGAATGAAAATTCAGAGTTGATGAGTTTATGATCATAAATTTAGCTTAATATAACTCACTGCATATCATTTGAAATCGAATAACATTATGATTGTTGAACTATACCGGATGATTGGTTACCAATGAAGAGTTCTCCAATTTCAATCTGAAGCCACAGTGAACAGAAACTCGAGTCATCAATACTGTGTTCTGGAAATCTGAATTATTCACGTTAATGCTGCATATTTTGTCTTTCCTTTTACTAACTGACCTGCCATATACCATTCTGGTTCGGCGTCACAGGAACATAAACATGTTTTCCCTTGAAATGATTAGGATCAACTCCTCCAAAAACAACCTCTCCTCCTGATTCTGCTTCTGAATCTGTGTTAAACCAGATCGAGAAAACTTTCTTCTTTAGTAGTTTTTGTTCTTCCATTGTATACCTGCATGATGATAGTATGTTGATAATGGCTTAGCATGTTTACCATATAAGATAAGTTCAGGAAAAATATGTAAAAATTCGTAAGTTTTTGAGTGTTGATCATAATGTTTACCATATAAGATTGGCGTTTCCTTCTGATTTATCTGGAAATGCAAGCCCTACTACACCATCAAATTTAGCATGTACCAATGTTATGCTTTCTTCACTTGTTATTTCGAAGATTATCTGCATACATAATTTTAGAAACTCGACGTTAGGGCAAGCTTAGCAAAAATGTGGTAAAAAATCAAAATTTGAAGAAGTAGAAATATACTTGATTTTTGACAAGTAAACCTCCAATTTCAACATTATCCTGGCTAAGAAAACCAGTGAGTTTTGCCTCTGTTCCATAAATAATTTCATGTGGTGACCCTGATATTAGTTACATACTTCTTATTAATTTTATCATGGTCTAAAATTATACAAATTATGTCAATGAATTAAAGATAATGAAGCATGCAAATTAAAGTGTGTACCTATCTTTGTGTATGTACTTGAGTGGCTTGATTCATATCTTGAATGTAAATAGCAAGCCTCCTACAATGAAATAAATACTTTAGGTTTTTTTTTTGTTTTTTTTTTATTTTTTTTGTGACATATCATGATATGAATTAATAGCTTAAGGTAAATATACATAGGATGCTTGTTTTTTGTTAGCAATATTAATACAAATAAATATTAATTACACAGACGTCCCTTAAGATATCGATAATAAGTAAAATTGTTAAATCGCCATACAAAATTTCAAGCTACAACTACCTTGGAAAATACTATAAGCAGCTTAATTTCCCTATTTTGTTCTTCATAACTTTTTAATAAATCCCACATTTCATATATGTCAACCAAATGATCACCAACTCGAACACTAATAGTACAATTGTTACAAATACTTTATCTAAAATATTTGAAAGCAGATTTAATTTCTATGCACTTACAGAAGAATTGCACTTAGAAGATGGAACCCAAAGATTAGAAACTGCAGTATCAAAAATGACAGCAAATTTTTGAGGTGGTGTGCCAATTCCAATTTCTCCATAAAATTGGGAATTCATGTAATTCTTCAAATGTATAATTTCTGCACGTTTTCCCACTTCAATTGTACCCAACTTTCTTGCAAATTTAATATTATTAAAATTTGTTTTATGTTGTTGATCAACTCTTTTGAGACTGATTTTCAACAATCCATAAGTTGTTATAGGAAGAAAACAAATATTTATTAATGCACAAAAACATAAAATTTGGGAGAAATATTTAATACCCATTTTTAATGGACAAAGCCTATGATAGAAATTTTATACGAGTAATAAACTTATAAAATAAGAAATCTTTCATGCAAAAAAAAAAAAAAAAAAAAAAAAAAAAAAAAAAGGAATGAGACAAGATTTTTCAATTATCACGTATAGCAGGAAAATATGATAGAAATTTCGTAGAAATGGAAAAGTATGATTGTCGAAAAACATTAGTAAAATACAAGTGGGGGAAATTACAACAATAACGTTGGAAGTGAATCAAGTGATAATAGATACAAGTAATAGCGGAGTATACAAAACATATTTAAATGGTATCCAATTCCCTACACTCGTTTTTGTTGGAGATAAGGTTGCCTCTCACTGGACAAATCATGAATGACATGACAATACATATCTATTATGTATGCCTTTGAGGGGTACAATAAATTCAACCCACCCCACAGATGTATTATAAGAGCCACATGGGCAGGAAGAGGAGAATCGATCTCACGATATTTTGAAATCAAGTTTAAAACTCGAACCATTTAAGTTTTTTTCACTCTCCCCATCCTATTGATATGAATAGCTTAAGTTTATGGTTCTATTGCATGAATATCCCTTACAAGTCAACATGGCCTGGGTTATTGTCCTAAACAATTAAGGTGAGGGGGGGGGGATGGCCTGGGTTATTGTCCTAAACAATTAAGGGGGGGTGGGGTGGGGTGGGTGGGTTAAGGGAATCCCCTCTCCCAAATTGTCTCTAATGGGAGTTGGAAGGCGCACTCCTTTTCAATTGACCAAACTTAGGGCCTGTTCTCATTAACTGAACTCAGCTGAACTGAACTGAACTGAATTGAACTAAACTGAACTGAACTGAATTGAGCTGAACTGAATATTTTATAAGAGAAGGAAATTAGGAGCTGAGTTGAACTGAACTGAGCTGAGCTGAACTGAACTGAACTGAATTTCAACGTAAGAGAACAGGCCCTTAGGGCCTGTTCTAATAGATTGAAATCAACTGAACTAAATATTTTATAAGAGAAGGAAATTAGGAACTAAACTGAAAATAAACGTATGAGAACAAGCCCTTAGTTTGATAAAACCGTAAAAGTAAAATACAGAGTAATTTATTTTTTATTTTCATATGTTATGGTGTTTTAGTGATTGTATTATTGCTCCCCCCCCCCCCCCCTTAAATTATTTGATTGTTCAATTTGAATTTTGCACAATTAGTGGGGGTATATTAGTGGGAGAGAGTATTACTCCGTAACAAACCAATAGTGTGTCTACCAAATAACTAAGTATTCTGTGTACCAATAACGAAACACATGGAAAAAGGAAAGTGTTGCAAATAATCTGGACGGAGGGAGTTTCGTTATAAAATGATGGTTTAAAAGACTAGAGGATTAAAGGTAGTGGATATGTGAGTGTAGTCATTGTACCATTAACAGGTTGTGATTGGGTGCCTGGGTGGTTGTGAGTGGTGCCCGGAGTAGTATTAGGGATATATCGAGCGGTATTGGAGGGTGGTGTGATGGTACAAGTGATTGGAGTGATGAGTTGGGGAAATAATCACCAAGTGTAATGAGAATGAACCTTTGCCCATGGAAAGTGTCTAGTAGAAAAGGGTGGAGGGAAAACCCCCGTCGTTTGTGACAAAATCGATCACCAATATGCAGGTAGTACTACCTTACATGAACAAAGAAAATTCTTAAATCAAACGAAAAGCTTCTACTTGGAACAGAAAATAAAATTGGTGTTATGTATTTCAGCATCAACAGGTTTTACTGATAGCCTTATAGTAAGGGGGAGCTGAAACGAAAGATTTTCGCCAGACCAGAAAAAGGATCACAGAGAATAATCTTACAGATGATAGTGATAAAAACTATCAGAATACACACAACAGAACACAAGCCTTCACAGGATATCAAGACTATGAGTTCAAGAAGAACACACAGACTTATAATATATTCACAGAATTACTTGGTTCGGCAAAAATAATTTAATCCTATACAGTAACCTCATCCAATTCAAGCAGAATTGGCATATTCTTGTATAATTAGCCAAAATTTATCCCGATTTATCCTCAAGAGAACATGTGAAGTTATGAAGGCAGTGAATTAAGCTTCTTTTCCATTTGTTTGGATCGACGAAGAGCATCCAGTGCCTCAGCTTGCTTACCAGAGCGTTTCAGGTTCAGAGCCTTCACTTTTTCAGCCTTAATTTGGGCTTCCAGCTGAGTTCTCTCTTGATTGAAACTCTCATTCTTAATGGAGCTTGATGTGGGCAGCTCTGCCTTTACTGGGGTCTGTGAGACAACGTTATCATCTTGGAGACCAATTGCTTTAAGGGCCGATAAGAGCTGAGGGTCAAAAAGATCCTCAACAGTAGCATCGCCAGCAGGTCCTTCGTCATTAAATGTGGGAATGGTTGGATTAGGAGGACTAACTTCCTCAAGCTGGGCTTCAAGTTTCTTGGCTATTTCAAGTTCAGCATCTGCTTCTTCAGTTCTACCTTCTCTACGTAGCTTCAAACCATTGCGTTTGTGATTGAGGCACTCACGCTGTAATTTAAAACGCTCATGGCTGGACATTGGTTTTGGGGCCACACGGGGAGGATCCCTTTCCTCAGGTTGGGTGGAAGTGCTATGCTCCTCCCTAGTAGTAGACATTACAGAAGACGAGACTTCCATGGGTACAGGACCAGTAGGATTCTGGGGTTTGCCATCCTCCAAATTTCTTTCCAACTGCTTTGCTTTCCTAAGCTCTTCTTTTGCTTCAGCCATTTTCCCCTCTTTTTTCAGTGCAAGTGCTTTCCTTTTATGAGAAAGAATCTCTTGCTGCACTGGACTTTTTGGGTTTTCTGGCGAAACACTTGGGGAAAGATTAGCTCCGTGAATAGCTGCCTGCACCACTTGGCGTTTATCTGAGGCATCATTGGCTTCAGCTGGTCTTTTGAGAGGTGTTTGGAAAGTTCCTCTATCCATAGGCTCAGAATCTTCAGGCAGATTTCCTTGTATTGCGGCTTCAACCTCAGCCTGGCGTTCAGAGAAATTAGCCAGTATTTCTACTTTTGGTGCTTCCAGCTCAGCCAACTCTTCCTCCAATTTTTTGGCAGTTTCAAGCATTTCTTCAGCCTCAGTCTCCTGTCCTTGACGTCTAAGGGCCAGAGCCTTCCTCTTTAAACCTAAGAGCTCCCTCTGGATCTCAGATTTACTCTTTCTTCGTTTATCGATTGTATCAGTAGCTCTACTTTCCACCAAAGCCTCAGCCTTTTTATTGGATACCTCAGCAGAGGGCATCATACTTGCATTGTCTTCATCCTGCCAACCAAAGTTCTTCAGGAGAGAAAGATATGCTGGATCATGCAAATCCTGTTCTGTCACATCACCATGTTCATCCTCAAGAGCAAAAGGGGAAGATAAATCAAGGGGCTCAACTACTGGCTCTGACACTTCATAGCCTACATTTAATTGAGTGTCCACCCTAGCAGGGTTATCCATCTCCTCTAGTTGCTGCTCAAGGACTTTTCCTTTCTTCAGTTCATTATCAGCCTCCTCTAGTTTCCCTTCCCTTCTTAAAGCAAGAGCTTTCTTTTTCAGTGCTAGAAGCTCCTTCTGAATCATGAATCTACTCTTCACCGGTGATTTTCTGTCGTTATTGGGAGTTATGTTAAAGGTCCTAGTGTGCAATGTACCTGATTCATGATCTTTTTCAACGCTGACTGTGTTAACATTAGAATTTTCAAGGTCTTTGTCAAGAGCTTTGGCCCTCTTTAGCAGTGACATTGCCTCTGCCGTATTCCCTGATCGTTTCTGGCTTACAGCTTCTTTTTTCAACTTAAGGATCTCGTCTGAAAGTGCTTCTTTATCAACAGAAGTGGACGGGGGCACAACGTCATCAAATTGAGTAGGCTCCTCAGTCCAACCTAGCGATTGCAAGGCAGCAGCCATTTCTGGATCGTGTATATCATCGTCTGTAACTTCAAAGTTCTCATCAATACCAACATCACCACCAAAGACCGAGAGATTACTCAAGTCAAATGCAGAATCCATATCAAAACCAGCAGAAAAATCCTTTTTCTCATCCTTATCCAAACTACGCATCAAAGCAGAGAGTTCATCATCAGATTCATCAGCATCAGCCAAGAATTCCTGTTCCTCTAGTTGCTTCTCTAATATTTTTGCTCTCTTTAGTTCTTCCTTGGCTTCAGCAAGTTTCCCCTCACGCTTAAGCATGAGAGCCTTTTTCTTCAGGGCAATAACTTGAGTCTTATCTAAACCAGAAGATACTTTACTGCGACTAGTATCACCAGAGTCCTGGATTAGATTAAAGAGCTCGCCTTCTAAGCTAGTTGGGGCTGGGTTCTTACTAGCATCATGAATATCCACATCAGACCATCCAAGTTCTTTGAGTTCTGCTGTGAGATCATCCTTTTCCTTAACGTTAGTGGGTTTATCTCTTTTACCTGATTCAGGAGACGTGCCTTGGTTTTTCTGTGTCTCAGATGAGCTTCTAGAAGCCAAAGCCTTTTTCCTATTCTTCCTCAACTGGAGTTCCAAAGAAGCTGCTTGACGTTCAAGTTCCTTTGCCCTTTTAAAGACTTTAAGAGCTTCAGCAGATTTTCCTTCTCCCTTGAGGATCTTATAATTGTTCTTTTCATCCAAAGCTTGTTGACGCAATTCTTCAGGGGTAGCAGAATCCATCTCGCTATTACTGCCATTAGATGCATTACCAAGCAGATCTACATCCTCATCTTGGCTAGCAATTTCTTTACCAGATCCCATATTAGCAGATTCTTTCCCATCATTCATCAAGATCTCATTCATAACTTCATCCACACTCCTTGATGCAACTTTTGAGGATCCTGTTTACAGGCAATAAACATTAAACGTGGTACTTAACTACTTATCGTTTTAATGGAACAATTTCAAATTTGAATCACAATTCACAGTTGAATTTGTACTAAACATATAACTAATAAAGGATACCCAAGGTTAAGCCGTAACATTGTTTACACAATATCTCATCAGACTGACCGCGGAATTCTACATTGTTGTGACCCGAAACAGCTTCTTAGCATACAGGTATATTACCCCCTCCTTACTCAGCAGGAACTACAACGCATTTGATGATTCTAGTATGCTATGGTATTATCTAATGTTAAAGCGCCTCATCAAAGTCACTATGGCAATTATGCTAACATCTAACCTTCTGCCCCCTCCTCCCTAAACCCCGAATAAATAAAACTCCAGATTTTTCCAAAAGAGAGCCTTGCCACAGGCATGTCAATAACAAATGCAAAGCAACACAACCATCAAAGCAAAGAAAACACCAATCCTACTCTAGTTTCATATGCAATAAGCATGTGATAGGAGAGCTAATACCTTTCCCAGCTCG